AAGAAAAAACAATTGTTGGTCGGTAAATCGACTTCTTTTCAATTATCTCGTAATAAATTTACGTCTTCCAATTTTACAAAAAGAAATCCTCGAAAGTCATTACCTCAGACAAAAGTCAGGAATAATGTTAAAAAAGATGAAACTGATGACAAGTCGGAGACAAAAATGGACGTAATTGAAGAGGATACAAATAAAAAGACTAAGACTATTTTTGGTGACTCTGTAAAAATAATAAATACAGAATCGAAAGTCAATAGTCAGTCTGTAAATACGATTCATCAATTGATAGAGAATCAAATAATTACGATCAATCGAAATATAAATGAAGGATGGTTGAATAGATGTGTAGAAGAAAAAAATTCAGATAGAAGCTCTATTTCTCAAAGACTTTCTAGTTTGAGTGATTCTGGTACCGAATCAATGGAATCTAATTCTCCGAAAGATGTAAAAAAATTATCCAATGATAAATCATTACAGGTATCAGACGAAGAAGATTTTATATGTAATAGTGATACGGAAGAAGATCATAAAAATAAACGTATTAGAAATTGTAATAAAAAATTGAATGATATTGATCGTGTTATCAAGCGACCTTGCATAGAAACTAATAATCTTTTATCTAATACTTTGTTAAAAATTAATGATGATGAAGTCAATGTATTAACGTTATGCAATATTGAAATAAATAATCCTTCAATGGAATTAAGTTCACAAAGTATTGAAAAAAATATAAACGAAGAAAAAGAAATAGCACAAAGTAAAGATACACCAAGGAAAGATACATCAAATAATAAGAAAAATGACTCTAACACAGATAATTGTGTTAGTGAAGATATATCTCCAAAGGAAAAAAAAGTAATAAGGACAAGAGGAAGAACACAAAGAGTTAAGAATAAAAATGATAAAACGATGAACGATAAAAAATCAAATGAAACAAGGCCTAAGAGACGTTCTAGAAAAAAACAAGTTATAGACAATGAGAAAAATGATGAAGATTCATTGTCAGCCATAGAAAATACTGATATGCCAATATATGGTATAGAAACTTTAGAAGCAGTGCCGCGCATTGCGATATGTTCATCTAATACTGGAGATTTGGTCACCGATTTTTCCAATTCCGTTTCATTATTAGATTCTGTTACGTCTGTTAATTCTGTTACCAGTAATTTGAAAGGAACAAAAACTGACAAAGAAAAATTAGAACAAAAGGTTGCAACTGGAAACTTAAATGATAATTTTATTAGAGTAAATCTAAAGAAAAAAATTTTTGTACGTGGCAAAAAGTCATTTAATCTTTCGAAGTATAAGAAAAATCAATGGAAACAAAAAAAGAAAGCTTTAGAATCGAGCGATGAAAATCTCGACGTAATTGATTATATCGAAAAGAATGGTATGTCCTGTTTTAAATGCGGTGGAACTGGACATTTTGCTCGTAATTGTACAGCATTGAAAACAAGTAATTTATTACCATTGATTGAGACTGATGAGCTTGCACAGTATCCAAGTTTAGAAGAGGCAGAAAAAATGGCAAGTCAAAGTGCCATTGTTGCGCATTGTAAACAAATTAATAGGCTACCCGAAAAACCTTTGTATGTCTCACAAAAAGAGGAATTACAATTAATATACAATGATGATGAATATATTTTGGATGATGCTGATATTGCAGAGATTATGGAAGAAGAAGGAGGAGGAGGAGGAGGAGAGGAAGAAGAAGAAGAAGAGAAAGAAAAGAAGGAGGAGATGAAAGTAAATATTATTTCTTATAAATATTTCTATAAATACTTTTTTGTATGTATATATGTGTGTGTGTGTGTGTGTGTGTACATATATACTTGCTTTATGCAATTATCAATATTTATTACAGGAAATTTCTGGAGTGCATAAAATTCCTGACGAATTACTAGCCAAATTATTACTTCCTGAAATTAAAGTATTAACAGCATTATATCCACCGAAAGAAGATCAATCTCTTATTAGTAATATTATAATCTTTCAAGAAAATGATTTAATAATTAAAACATATTAATTAATTTAATGTTACTTTTCTCTTAGATACACCTAAGGAAGTCTTTGAAGTTTTGCATATGTTTGGTCATAACAGCTTTAGACCGGGACAAGAGAAAGCAATAATGAGAATATTATCTGGTCAATCGACGTTACTTACTTTGTCAACTGGTTCTGGAAAATCTTTATGTTATCAATTGCCAGCATACTTATATTCCAAATATTCCACTTGCATAACATTAGTTATTTCGCCATTAGTATCATTAATGGATGATCAAGTCACTGGCATGCCATCATTTATATCTGCTGCTTGTTTGCATACTAATCAAACTCCTAAAGTAAGGGATAACGTAATGCGACTTGTAAAACAGTCGAAAATACAAATATTACTTATTTCGCCAGAAGCAGTAGTCGCTGGTGAAAAATCAACTGGATTTGGTGCTTTGCTTAGAGAACTTCCACCTATAGCATTTGCTTGTATAGACGAAGCTCATTGCATATCTCAATGGTCTCATAATTTCCGTCCATCGTATCTTATGATTTGTCGTGTACTTAAAGAAAAATTAGGGGTAAAAACAGTGTTGGGTCTAACTGCAACTGCTACTAAATCCACTGCTGAAAGTATAGTTCATCATTTGGATATCCATGATGGAATGGCAGGCGTTATATCGGATATACCATTACCTAACAATCTATTTTTAACTGTATCAAGGGATGAACAAAGGGATAATGCTTTAATTAAACTCTTGTTAAGTGAGAGATTCAAAGAATGTAATTCTATAATTATTTACTGCACACGTAGAGAAGAATGTATGCGAATCGCAGGTCTTCTAAGAGTTTCCATGCTGGTAAATTTAATGTTATTCAAAGTAAATACATTTATATGTATTTATATATATTATTATATTATCATATGTTTATCTTTAACAGGATTCACAACAGATTACAAAAGCAAATAGCAAAATATCGCATATAGCAGAGGCTTATCACGCAGGATTATCCTCTTATCGTCGTAAAATTGTACAGAAAGCTTTTATGAATGGACAAATTAAAATTGTCGTGGCAACTGTGGCATTTGGTATGGGTATTAATAAATCAGATATTCGATCTGTAATACATTATAATATGCCAGCAACGTTTGAAGCATACGTACAAGAGGTGGGAAGAGCTGGTAGAGATGGATTGACTGCACAATGTCATTTATTCTTAAGTCCTGAGGTACTTATAGATTTTTTTTTTCCCCTTAATTTTAATATCATAAAAATCATTAAAATCTTTCCTTTTATATTTTAGGAAAACAGTGACAAATGGGAATTGCGAAGACATATATATGCCAATAGTATCGATAGGCATACTATCAGACGTTTGCTTGCAAAAATTTTTATACCTTGTTCATGTGCACAGATAAATAAAAAAACACCTACTAAAAGATGTTCCGGTCATGAAGTTGGTCTACCGATCGATGAAATTGTTAGAACACTCGACATTACGGAAGAAATGATTTTGACTCTCTTATGTTATTTGGAATTGTATCATAAGAAATTTCTTACAGTTCTTTCTTCTGTTTATACAATGGCCAAAGTCAGTAGTTATAATGGTCCTCAAGCACTTAAATTGGCTGCACAATCGGTAAGTCAATAATATTTATTCTAAATTATATTTATTTATTTATTTATTATTGGTTTTTTTTTTTTTTTTTTTTTTTTTTTTTTTTTTTTTTTTTTTTTTTAATAAACTCATACAAGTAATTATAATTAATGATAATTTATAATTTTTAGTGTCCACCACTTGCAATGGCAATTGCATTAGACTTAAAAAAGGGTATTTCACATGAAAAAAGTACAACCATAGAATTCCCTGTTATCGATATTGCCTCTATTATTGGCTGGGACAGTGGTGTGGTTAAAAAACATCTCAAAGATTTAGAATGGAGAACAGGTAGATTTAAATATAATAATGGTCATTAAAGATAATGATATTTAATAAAATATAATAATTATTTATTCTTCGATCTTCAATTATAGTCGATGGCAAATCAAAACGTTCTGCAATATCGGTTCGTTACGATACATTAGGTTTAAGAGTTAAAGCTCAAGGTGATTTAACTGATGCTGAATTAGATGAAGCTTTGGATGTTTTGGTATCTAGAACGCAATCGCAAGAAGTTTCTTCCTTGCAACAACTTGAATCTATTAGTATGTCACTTCAAAAATTTAGCGTACCAATAATTAATCAATGTTCGATAATGTCTGAAGAAATAATAAATAAATCGGAGGAACTTAAAAATACGATACGAAATTATTTCAAATCGGATCACTTATTGACTAGTGAGACCGTTTGTAGATCACAAGTGAGTATATGTGAAATAATAATGAAAAATAAAAAATTTTATCTGATTTTTTTTTTTCTCTCTAATTAATAATAACATTGTATTTATATTATTATAGGTTAAATTATTGAACGAAGCACAAATTGCTAATGACGTACGTAGTTTGATTGTGAGTTACAAAGATAATAATTTTACTGGTCGTGCAGTGGCACGAATCTTTCATGGGATACAAAGTCCAAATTATCCTGCCATTGTCTGGAGTAAATGCCGCTTTTGGAGGACATATATATCGTCTGATTTTAATGCGATTTGTCAAATAGCAACTAAAGAAATTTTAGCGTTACGTTAGTTAATACTTTTTTCATGCATTTCATTTGTTTTGATGACTGAGTAAATTTATTTTATATATATATATACACACATATATGTAGAATATTAACTCTATTTTTTCTTTTTTTTTCCCTTTTTTTTTCCTTTTTTTCTTTTTTTTTTCTTTTTTTTTCTTTTTTTTCTTTTTTTATTTTTTTCTTTTTTTCTTTTTTATTAAAGATAATTTTTAAATAAGATATCTTAAAATTATATCGATAATTAAACATTAATTGCAAGATCATTACTGTATAGAAAATAAATTTTTTTACTTTTGCTTTTTAACTCTGACGTTTTATTAAATATAAATTTTAATAAAAAAAATAACCTTATTCCCATAATGTCCTTGATATAAAATTTGATAACAAATGAATAACATATAGAATATTTTATTCATGGTATCGTTATTTATTACAAACACGTTTGAACAGATCGACGGACAATCACGAAATGACGAAACACCTGTATCCCTCTAGCGGCACTATAGATAAACAAACTTTAGAATCTTTTAAATAATAACAATCGAGTATTCGTGGCAAAAGCCATATTCTTTGCTTATACCTTATTTTATGATTATTTTCAATTTTTATAAGAGAATTAATAAAAATAAGATTAAATTTTCTTTTCTCGTTCGATCTATTAAATATTGAAGGAGAAAAAAAAGAAAAACTTCTTTATTTTGATAAAGAGTCCTCCTGATCACTCGTAATGTGTGCTTTCATTGTCACTTGAAGTCTCGAACGTGTTAATTCCATGTATAAAAATTCGACAATAAAGTGTATAATCATATTGCCATTGTAGATAATATCATTGTGATTTAGGAATTTGATAGGACTTAATATGATAGGCAAAAATGAAGAAGAGGATACCAATGATAATAATTTATATCGTATTAAATTAATAGCCAATAAAAGAAAATCTTTGGAGGACAATACAGCACAAGTAAGTAATGTATGATATTAATTTAATCTTATAATTAGGATATTATTAGCATTAAGAATATTTTCTTTAACATTGTAGATTCAAGAAAAGATTAAACATTGTTTTGCACAATTGACAGATGCATTAAGATTAAGGGAAAGGCAATTATTGCGTCAAGCTGAAGCAGTACACACTCAACAGCTTTCTTTGCTACAATCGAGTTTAGATTTTATTCCTTCTTTAATTGTAAATTTACAAAAGAAAGAAGATCTTTTAGAACAGATACAACATTTTGGTAATATAGAATTATCCGGAACAAATTGTATTACGGTAAAAGACATTGAGCCTTACAAAGTTGCGGAATATGAAGAAGCTAATAAAGATCATGTCAGTTTTGACAAGTCAATCAAATTTGAGAAAGATGTGAATGCTATAACTAAACAAATAAGGAACATTGATATTGATAAATTGAATATATCATTAGATTGTGCGAATATCTTTGATGATTCCAGAAGTTTTTTAAACTCCAGTTTAAATTCAAGTATAGAAAATGAAAGACATTTACAAATATTAGAATCAAATAATATTTCTGAAATGTGCAAGGATTCTAAAGTTTTGCCATTGTGTTCTTCATTATATATAATAAAGCAAGATCCTAATACGTGTGTCAAAGAGAATGGAGAACATCAATTTAATAATAAATGTGCAAACGACCTACAGGATATTACTATGCCTAATCAAGGTGCAAATATTTTAATGAATGGAATAAATGAAGATATTAATATAAGAGTGCAACTAAATGAAAAATCATTGGATAAGACAGATTCATTTGAATCCAATCGTTCTGATGATCAACATGATATATCTGATCGAATAAAAAATATGGAATCTATAAAAAATCAAGATGTTTTGAAACCTGTTCGTGAACATCCAAAACAAGTTCAACAATGGTTACAACAAATATTGGTGGAAACAGAAATAGAACCTATAGTTCACGAGGTAGGACAATTTTCCGAATTATCAGAAGTTCAACATTATAATAAGCTTCAATTGGAAACATAAATAACATTAATTTATATAATGTTTGTCATCAAAAAAGGAATTGCACTACTTATTTAATTTATATCTCTTTGAATTTTATAAGAATACTTTCATGTCTTAAGTGGGGCCAAAGTTTCCATGATAATGGAAAGTAAACCAAGAAGTCTGATTTATCATTACAATTATGTCATATGCATTTTATAATTTATTTTCATTATTCGATATTATTTTATATTATGATACACTGGACTTATCTCTCTTTTATATTTGCATTTGAGTATGTAAGGCGGCATTCTTTGTTAGAAAGGTGCACATAAAATAATAATAATAATGTGCTTTCATTTTGTGCTTTGAATATTTTATTCTTATAAAAGTACTTTTTTTTACAAGTTTGAGTACTTCCGAATACTTCCTTCTTTTTTTTTTCTTTTTTTTCTTTTTTTTTTTTTTTTTTTTTTTTTTTTTGTATTTTACGTTTCATTTCTATAAAACTGAAATGCATTGCAGTAATTGAAAGAAACATTAATAAATATTTATTGTTCGTCATTAATATATAAAACAGAAACAAATATTAATTTGAATAATGTTTAATATACATATTGACTTAAAATGCGTAAGGGTAAAGATTGAGAGTAATATTTATAACAGTACTTCATTAAAACTTAAACAATTATTTTAAATCCGATAAAATCTAAGTTATTATTGTACACAGATCACATAAGGCATTGCAATAAGTGATTTAAATTGTACTGAACTATTATCTTTAATATATGTGCGTATATTTTTTTATTAGAATTAACTTAAAGGCTCGGTGGGGTTTTGAACGAATTACAATTAGCATGCAAGTTTTTTTTATTATGTTTCTCTATCTTTTTTTTTCTTTTTTTTTTTTTTTTCTTTTTTTTCTTTTTAACCATATATATATAAGATTTTATATATTTGTGTATCATGTATAGGTGTGCTTTAAAAGTCACTTTCCTTTTTGAAGTGACGAATATATAATAAGACATAAGTTCATATACAATTATACCCTTTATTTATTATCAGTTTGACAACTGAATGTCTATTTTACGTAATCGAATATTTATATAATAGTCTCTTTTGTACTGGTGTTATAAGCGAATATAAATGGTACTTTTATTCCATATTGTGCTGTTATGTGTTCTCTAATTATCATTATCAAAGCAAGAAAATGTTTTACTATAAAAAATAATCTTTCAAGTTTTTCGATTTGTTTGTTCTTGTAATTTTTCACATACAAATATATGTAAATTAATTATATCATGTTATGGAAATATTCATAGATGATCAAATAATTATCGGTTGTAAAAGATGTGTACTGAAAATATTATCCATAAGTTGTTATAAATCTTATGGTAAATGCTCTGTTCAATTCCTTAGTAATATTTGAATATGATACATTGAAGATATTTTACATTACGTTAATAAAGAACTCGATAATTGCTTATATCTATTTTTATAACATTTAAAGATTTGAATAATTTTTAAACATTTTGTTTTAATGTAAAAGAAGTAAAATCTTCAGTTTAGTAAATCCTATTTTTTTTTCCTTTTCTTTTGTTTTCTCTTTTTTTCCTTTTTCCTTTTTCACACACTCTTTTATGTATATTGTATACATAATTTGGTCGTTCGTATGTATTTTTATAATTGAATCTATAAAAATCAAATTTTTGCCTGGACAATATCAATTAATTTTAAACACGATACACACTGTACATACAAAAAAAAAAAAAGAAAGAAAAAAAAAAAAGAAATAAATTAGCACATATTTCAGCATTTTACTTCTGAGATATAAGTAATTAAGCACGAAGATATATATATATATATATATATACTGTTTAACTTACGATGTCAAAATTGGAATAATCACATGTACGCATGCGTATATATACTATACTCGCGGTCACATACATAAATAATATATGTATGCGGATATACATATAGATTGTATCGTATGTATGTAAATATATATATATATATATACATATGTTAGTACACATCTATATACATGTATGTATATATATATATATATTTACTTACTCGCATATACAGTTGCATACAAATCTATATGTACTGTTTTGATTTGAATAAGAAGTTAAATTATCTTTTAGAGAGGAACTGATTATTTACTTAAGTTTCTAAAACTAAGGCTCAACTTGGGTCATAATGGAAGTAATAGATCGTGAGAAAATTTGGTTGGTCTTTCAAGTAAATGATCGTGTGTGTTTTTAATCCATCATTTAAGCGACACTTGATAGAAAATCCAATCTTCGAAGAAAGACGGTACAAAAGCACGATCTTTTGCAAATGTTACGGGTACGCAGAGTTGAGATAATACCTCTTCATACATCTTCAGTGATTCAGGACAGGAAGCCCCATTTCCCTTTGAAAAGAAAAAAAATTCACGATATACATATATATATATATATACTATTTTATTATTGAAATATTAATGAGTAAAACTTACATGAGTCATATATTTTCCCGTGGGCTTAAGTACTTTCACCGAAGAATTTAGAATTAATCTTATAAAATCCCATGCATCGCCATGAGGAGTAGTACTGATTGGAATATCAGTTAAATCGCCAAAAACATAATCAAATTGACGACCTTCTTCTATCATGTGTGCAAGTGCCTTTACACAATCACCAACTATTATCTATAATTCATAAAGTTTTTAAATAAATTCTTTTAATATTTTCATCTGGAATTTCTTTTAATAATTTGATATGAATTATTTTTTTTTTTTTTTTTCACAATTATACCTCGTAGTTATCACCCTTCCTCTTATCTAAACAATCTCCGCATATGCTTCTCATGTGTTGACTACAAGCTTTCATAACGACATCATCGATCTAGGAAAAAAAATATTAATTGACAATAGAATGATATATAAGATTAAATTAAATTAAAGCCAGAGCATAATATATACCTCAAGCATTGTTATATATTTTGGCTTTTCCTTGAGCAATTCCCAGAGTAAGCCCCCATCACCACCACCAAGGATAACTATCTCTTTTCCAGCATAACTTTCCTTACCACGTTGCATCAACGTTTCTGTATATATAAGATCCGCTTCGGACATGTCTAAAAGTGTTTTATAATAATATGTTACATATTCCTTAATGAAATTATACGTTTAATTATATTTTCCTTACTTTGTAACTCATCAAGAACCAAAAGGTTACCAAGAGATTTGGAATGGACAATTTGTACCTTTTGATAAGGCGACCGTGCCTCAAACACCAGCTTATCAATGTCATATTCAAGCAATCTCTCATCTTAAAAAACAAAGATAATATTTATTAGTAAATAAATTTTGGCAATGATATTCTCTAAAAATGTGGACTCTCAATCTAAGACATGCTTTAATCGTATAGCTCTTACAATAATAATTTGTTTAAAATAATTAACATGGGTGGTGATATACAAGCTGTAACAAACTATAAAAAAAAAAGAAAAAAAAAAAAAAGGAAAAAAAAACAAAGAGAAAAAGAAAATATATGGTTTCCTTGAATAGACAGTATTTCATTTGATAATATTTATATATATATATATATATATATATATATATATATATATATATATGTATATATATATATATATGATAAAATACTAAGAGTGTGTGATATAATTAAGGGAACATTAAATAAAATGCTTGGCCATGCAAATACAAGGCAAACATCATCATTATTATGTACAATCTAAAAACTGATAAAAAGTGTGTGAAAAACATATACACTCTAGTTTAAAAACCAACTAAAAAGACCTTAACTCTTATGCACATACACGGCAGCAACCTAATGCGTTATACCATCCATCATCCCTGAGTATCTAGCAGAGCATTAAAAGCAGTCAAATTAGTGTTAAAAAATCAGTACTTTGTTAAATCAGTATTATTTATTTTTTTTCTAATGTATGTACAATTATTTTATAAATAAATTTGCTGCAAACATATAAGAACTAATAGAAGGAATAGATATTTTATGAAATAATTAGTAGTTATTTTTAGATATCTATTGAGAAACCTTTTTATATTTTTCATACTTCAATTGTCATATCAAAGATAGAACCATATAATTCATAAAAAGAAAATAGTTCAGTGAAACATTTAAAGAAAAATCTATTTGATATTAAAAATTGCATTTAAAAATTTTCGTCTCTAGTCAAAAAATATATTAAAAATCAAAGAGCTCATATAAAAAATAAAAATAACAATTTGGTTTAATATTTAAATGAAAAATTATCAACTTCTAGAATATAATGGATTTTTTTTTTTTTTTTTTTTTTTTTCACATGATTGTATGGAGAAAAGGACCCTTTTGATATAATTCTGCTCTGATATTATTTTCAACGAGTTGACAATTGACCGTAAACATAATTATAAATAAAACTCACCGGCGGTAGGAAAGTATCTCTCAAAAGGTCCACCGCGTTTAATGGGGATAAGCGTGTGTGACCGCGTAGCGGTTGCCGCTGCCTGCAACGCCGTCTCCAATTCTCTGGCCAACTACCATGGCCATGAAGCGAACCAATGAATAAACAGAACAAATGCACTATCTTGTTAAACGAATTTCTACATCCCTGTAGAGAAGCTAAAAAGTATCAAGATCTGGTATCTCGATGTCAAAAGATTTAAATGCCCTTTTTATAGATATAATCAAAGTTAACTCAATAAAGAGATCGATATTAAATGCGTTAAAGATCAATCAATTGATCTATTTATTCCTATAATTATAATCGAGTATACCAGTTGTCAGAAAAGTAGAGAATAGTAATGATAAAAAAAAAAAAAAAAAAAAAAAAAAAAAAAAAAAAAAAAAAAAAAAAAAAAAAAGAGATAAGAGCACGAGCAAGTCAGGTGCTAAATAATTCCATAATATGCAAGAGTGTGCTGGGGGGGAGGGTAAATTAAAATTAGCATTCTTGGCAAGCGATCTACCCTAAATATCTATTAGTAACAATCAATAGCAATTATAATTCTAGAGTAGTATTCCATGATAATCTATAAATATAAAAACGAAGGTTAAGAGAATAATCGAGGAACAAATTTGATCGTGGGAAAGCAATTTCTACCTGATAGTGTCAGATAGAGGTCATATACGGTTCCTCGTCTTACAGGTGGCAAACACTTGCTGCGTTGGCTGTTCAAAGCCATGGCAACATCAGCTTCCAAGTATCGCCACTGCTACAACGTCCTGTTGGTTATGCTATGTTTCCCTTCTCCTTTACATTAAATTATCTACTTACTACTATAGCAACAGTAGCGTGCAAAAAAAAAAAGATAAATTTAGCCCGATCTGTCATTTGTTTTTTTTTTTTTTTCAAGCGCAAAGAGGCTAATATTATCCCACGATACACCACTCTTTCTGAGAACTTGCATAAAATTCGGCATGCCATACTATAGATAATTAAAATCTCGATAAAACCGATCATCAAGATTTATTATTTTTCATATCTGTACATAGAATTGTATTGTGTCAAGGGATCAAATCGTTATAAAACTGATTTTATCTCTTGATACAAACTAAATTACCTTATTGTTTTATCAAAAGATGTAACGTATGAAACGGAAATATTAACCTATTTCAATAAATTTCCCACAGATGTATATTAAAAATAAAAAAGAAAAAGAAAAAAAAAAAAAAAAAAAAAAAACAAAGAAGAGTCAATATATAATTAATATCAAAAAAAAATTATTCTTTGTTATTAGAAACTATTATTCACAAAATAGTATATTATACAGGCGTGCTACTTAGAATAAGTATATTAAAAATAATATATAATATATTATTATACCTCAAATGTTAATAATGCTTCTTCATCATCCTGTTTGAAATATTCAATGTTTAACGTCACTAGGCCTTCCTTATATCCTCTTACAGTTATTAGACTACCTTTTGGGCCAGTATATAAAATCAATAAACTGCCATCGATGTTTGATTCTGTTAATGGTTTTAAACCAATAAAATGTTCACCCAGAACATTTGCTATAGCAGATTTTAAATTTGAACGTTTCTCCAAGTCTGCTATAACATTAGCAGATACAGTGAAGTCAAGAAGGATAGTATGGACAACCATTATTAATCAATCTATAATACACAATATATTTATATATTAATAACAATTGGAAATAATTAGTTTAGATATGATCGTAATAAAAAGAATAAATGCATTTTAATTTATGAATTCAATCAATAAAATTAGGAGTACTTATAGTAGACATGTATGTACATGCAATGGAAATGTTATAAATAGTTAATGTATGGTTAAGATTATTAATCAATAATTATTTCGTAATAATATATGAAGGACAACTCGAATCAACAAAGAGAACATTATATAATTGTTTTAATAGGAAAACATTTCTGTCTAATGTCTTCGCCATGTACATCTTTTTCTAATGTATCTTTGTAAGAATTTACCAAGATATATATATATTGGCATTTAATCACTGTTCACGAAATTGATAATCCTATTACTATAAAATATTAATTTCAATACTCACTGATAATTCTAATAATTATTTCTTAATTGTCACCAATTAATATCCTTCGGTTTTCAGAATAAAAATTTTATTAACCGCTGCGCGTCTAGGGTATCCTGGTGCCAACAGATACTCAAGTACATACTATATACAATATATAAGTCAGTGCTATCAACAGAATTATATATAACCGTTCGATGGTAAAATGATAATAATAATAATAATAATAATAATAATAATAATGATAATGATAATAATAATAATAATAATTTTTTTCTCCTTTTTCTTTTTTTTTTCCCCACCCCTGTAATTTCAATCAATCTAATAAAATCAATATTTTCGATTTCATTGCCTTTAAACAAAAAGAAATATTTTAAACGTGTCCATGTTGTAAATTTGACCAATGTATTTCTCTTACCATAAGTAAGGATAGCCAATCAGAACGTTTCTCTTTCGCGCATTAATATTGGCTCGGCGGATTAACGTTTCACTAGAAAAACCGTCGGGGAAACGCGCGCTTTAGAACGATCGTTGTTCTTATACGTATATATATATAAATATATCTATATAAAAGATTTTTATATATTTTTTATTTAAAAATACAAATTAAACTTACCGAGTGTATTTTTTTTTTATCGATAAAACTGCCAAGTGCGTCGGTGTACATATTCTTGCAATGTACGAGCTAGAAGAAATCTGCGAAATAGAAATGGTCTATTCACTACGAAAGTTCTTCACCGTAAGTAAGAATATATATATATATATATATATATGCATATATAACGAAATATATCGAAGATTATTATTTATTTGCATTCGTATGTCATATAATTATTATTACGTATAATTTCGCTCGAGTAATAAAATCACGTATTTTTTCTTCGTGATTGCTTTTTTTTTGTCTTTTTTCTTTTTTTCTTTTTTTTCTGTTTTTTTTTTTTTCTCTTGAACTATACGTGAGTTCGCGCTGTATGAGTGTGTTAACGAACGAAAAGTTCGAGAAACGTTAAGTTCGCCATTTTTTTTTTTTTTTTTTTTTTAATTACATATACGAACAAAACCTTCTTTTTCTTTTTTTTTTATTTTTCTTTTTTTTTCTTTTTTTCTATATAAGAGCAGATTATTTACGTGGCAGGTATCTTTTTCTTTTTTTTGTTTTCTTTCTTATTATTATTATTCTTTTTCGTTGGATAATTCGAGATAGGATATTATTTTGTGTTTCTTCGTTTTTTTTTTTTTTTTTTTTTATTTTCATATGCTTTTCGTTGTGTGTTATAAGATATTAATATTATGCTATAATATTCTACAAGTTAGTTTTGATAAGAAACGAAAAAAACGAAAAGGGCTTCTCCCGAAGGCCTCTCAATTCGTTTTGTTCAATAGTAAAAATAAGATAGGATTAAAAAAAAAAAATAAAAAAAAAAAATATATATATATAAAATAAAAAATAAAAAATAAAAATAATAAAGAAAAAAAAAAAAGTGAAATAAAATAGAACAAACGAAAGGCTCTGTACGTTATCATCGGTTATAATCGTTGATTTTTAAAGTAATAAGAAATGTACAAAGCGAGTGTTTCGTTTTCTTTTTTTTTTTTTTTTTTAGTTTTTTTTTTGCTTTTTTTTTTTTTACACACACGAGATTATCTACTGACTGATGGGACTCTCTCTCTATGGTTTTATTTTATTCTCTAAGGTTAATAATTAATTATTATTCATCGCGAATTGTCGGTAATTATGTATGGTTCCCGTTTGAAAATTCTCGCGATTCGAACGACGAGTTGAATGTTTATTATTACGATTAATAATAATTTTAATAATAATAATAATAATAATAATAATAATAATAATAATAATAATAATAATAATAATAATAATAATAATAATAATAAAAATAATATTAATAATAATAATAATAATAATAATAATAATAATAATAATAATAATAATAATAATAATAATAATAATAATTGTAATTTACACTCTGTAAGGCGATCGATCTAGTCTCTCTTTTTTTTTCTTTTTTGCTTTTTCCTTTTGCTCTCATTTCCTTTCCTTTTTTTTTCTGTTTCTTGTAAGTACTACATGGATTTTGGCACTTAGATTTATACGATTGCACTAATTACGGAGTGATACCGTTTATACCGAGAGAAAACATTTTTATCGACATTATGAATTATCACCATTCATCCATTTCTACTTTACCAACCGATCTGCTTTTCGATTTACCCATTAATACAGATTATTACCATCATGGGATTTATCGACGGAGTATACGTAATATTATCGATGGAAAATGATTCGTCTCCCTTATGTGCGCGCTAGTGTATGGTATGTGCTTGCTTGTGTACGTATATGTATATAATGTCTGTATGTATGTGTGTGTGTATGTGTTCGTTTGTTAACATAGAAGTTGCAAAGATATTAATTATGAACGATTGCTTTGACAAATCGCTTTAAAGCTTAGTAAAGCGACGCAAAACTGCGATTATTGTGGCATAACTATTCTCTATGACATTTTTTTTTTCTTTATTATTAACTCATTGGGAAACGAAACTCTTTGATTATTTATATACTTATGTGCAGATATATCGGTGTTTAACGCATGATTATACATCGGAATTGATTAATGACACTTTTTAGAATAACGGTTTTAGAATACATTTCTTTTTTTTTTTCTTTTCTTTTTTTTTGACGTTTTTTCCCTTTTTTTTTCCTGCAACTGTTTTCTCTCGGAACAAAACGTAGGCACGTTTATATACGTATGCATGTCGCAGTATCACCTACTACCGTCGTATATTTATTTCTATCTTATTTTTTCCCCTCCTCTCTCCATTTCTTTTTTTTCCTTTTCCTTCTTCTTTCTTTTTTCTTTTCTTTTTCGGGACAACGGCAGTGACATTTCATATGATTTGTGTACGTGTGCGTGCGTGCGTGCGTGTTCGTGTGTGCCTGTGTGTGTGTGTGTGTGTGTGTATCGAACGCGATTATTATCTATTAGATATATTACAGGACATTAGAATCGATCTAAAAGGATAGTTTCACTTGGAACTGGATCGTTTTCATTTACATACACGTTCATGTTAAAACGTTACGCTGTGCTAGCGATGAAATTAATCGAAATACGTCAATAAAATGATGATGAGGACGATGACAATGTTGATGATGATGACGACGACGACGATGACGACGATGACGACGATGACGACGACGACAACGACGACGACGAGAAGGATGAGTTTCGTGGTTAGATCGTTACACAGCCTAACGTTCGTTATCGAGGATGATGTTTCCATGTGGAGAATTTTTTTTTGCTTTTTTTTTTTTTTTTTTGTTTTTTTTTTATTTCTTTCTTTCAAACGAGACCAAAATCCGTGTGAACGGTGACGTCGCAATTGTTTGGCTTTTCGGCAGCCGCCATATTAACTTCGACCAATGTATCGACGCTATTTATCGGACAACCCTTAAGTATCTTTTGTGCTGCCAAACTTGTAAATTGAACTTGCATGTCGCTCAAACTCGGATAAGAATAAAGATCGCCACGGCTAACTGTTTTTTCTAAATTAGGCTCGGAGCCCTGAGGTGCTCTTTGTTGTTTACCCGATTCGAGATTTTCGATGTAGACGTTATTAAAAGATCCACCAAAGCCATCGAAGGATTTTGTCGGTGATGGAGGATTAGATGAGATATTATTTTTCGATCCTGGACGGAGAAGGTTCCGATAACTGAGTGCATCCTTCGACAAAGAGAGACTAAGCTTTCGTGAATTATTCATGGCATCGTTCGTATTTTTCGTACTGGATAAATTACCGGTAGTGTTTTCATGTGACAATGAATTTTTATCAATGTTACCACTTGATCCGTCTATCAGATGTGCTTGACTATTGTTCAAACGATTGGTTAACTTTAATTTACTAGGTGTTTCCTCTTCTACTTTAGGCTTGTTTTCTTTATCGGACTCCGAGAGAAGTCCAGGCTTGATCTCCTTTCCAGAATACAAAGAGGACGGTCGATCGATTTTACTCGATTTATTTAGTTTCTCCTCGTCGAGTTTACCCTTAAAAAGTTTCTCCTCGTCCATTCGAGACTTGTATGCCTTCTCGCCAACTAGTTCGCGTTCTTGTTTCTCCTTACACTCTGTCAAGTCCTTCTCCGTAACCTTGGTCTTAACCGTACCATTTTCAAAAGTAATTACAGATCTCATAGGTGAATTATTTTGATGTACGTAGATCTTAGTCCCTGGGGATCCAGAAATGGTTGTAGTACTCGTAGCATTTGATGCCAATGTTACGCTATTCTGTATAGCACGTTGTTCCTGTGACGAATTAACCGGACTGAGATTCGTCGACACTTGAAGCGTTATCGAGTTCTGTGCTTCTTGGAGAGGCGTTAACGATCCCTGCTGTACGACCTTCAACGGTGACGATTTCGCCGGCAGCGTGTTCGTCTTCAGCGGGGAAGACGAAAGTTTACCGCTAGAAATCGATTTCCCACTCGAGTGAGACGAATGACCGGAAGACGTCTTTTGCAGTACCTACGAGGAAATAGATTTCTCATTTGAAGCGTTAGAAAGTAGCGAGGATCGGTGCAAGCAACCAAGCACACGCGTAGAGACACTTATACTATTATATATGTTTTATATATATATATATATATACATATACATATCTATGGTATATATATATATATATATATATATGGTAGGTAGGTGTATCTAAGTATATATGTAGATTTGCGTTCGATCAGCGAACGGCCATCGTTAAAACCAGATCTCGAGGCGTACATTTTATTTATTTATTTATGTATGTATGTATATATCTATCTATCTATCTATCTATATATCTATATATCTATCTATCTATCTATCTATCTCTATCGTATAGGTACGCACTCGAATCGCTCGAAGCTTTAAAAATAAAGCGACAAAGCGACTCCGGTATAGTTACGAGGCACGCTTTCGATCTCTCGCGAATAGTACAGACATCTACGTAAATAGATTCGATTGGACGTCTCACCTTGTGCTGGGGCGAACCGTTGCTCGATTTTGTGCCGCTAGCAGTCGAATCGTGACTCGGCCTACGAGAACTCGATTGCCTCGTATTGGACCTGGTAAGCGTAGCGGTTTTTGCAGGACTAACGTTGGTAGTCCTAACGGAGCCAGAACTTCCGCCGCTTCTACTTGGCGAAGAGTTGGCAGAATTTTTTCCATTTTGAACTTGATTACGTGTCTGGTAGGGTTCTTGATTGGCGTTAGGCGGAAGGACCGATGCCCTTGAGGTACATCTACTCAAGCTAGAACATTTCGATCTTGGCATAGTCGAACATGGCGATCGATGCCTTCTCGAGCTTCTTGGTGTAGAATTTGCCAATAAACTCGACGAATCGCCGCTGGCTTGGCGTCGGTGCCGCCTTGGTAATGTTGCTGATCTTACCGAGCTCGAATCGTCCCAGACTTGGAAACTGGTCTGCGACTGATCCAAACCTTCCATCATCTGTATAGAAGATAACGCATAAATCTTTGAAATTGTATCCTGATCTTCTTCTAATTTTTTTGTTTTTATTCTTCTTCTTCTTCTTCTATTATTACTAGTACTACTACTACTACTACTATTCCTTAAATCCAAGTTGATATCTCAAAAAGAAATAACTTAACGGCATTTCGATAAGTATAATACATTCGTTATTCTTACCGAAGGACTAGCAGCTCTCGTTTGCGTAGCTACACTATGTAGATGTACGACACGTGGATTGAACCATTCTGTTGGAGGATATTGAGCGCTGAACGTACCCATCAAAGGTGCACCCTTTCTCCTCGTACTACGTCGGAATAGCCTTGATAGCAAGCCTATTTTCTCTGTGAACATTCCCGAAAAACCTTGAGAAAAATATGACCAATATTGTTATTATCTGTGCGAGAGTTTTTAGGAATTTGAGGAAGGGCTTGCCAGCTAAGGGTGACTAAGAAGCTTCGATTTGGATAAACGATTGAACAAATGGAAAGAGAAAGGAAAAGAGAGAGAGAGAGAGACAGAGAGAGAGAGACAGAGAGAGAGAGAGACAGAGAGAGAGAGAGAGAGAGATAGAAAAAAGAGAAAAAGAGAGTGAAAAGAAGAAATACAAAAAAAAAAAAAGTAAGAAATTGGAAAACAATTTGTCACAAATAGTAAATTATAGATGCAAATTTTCATAGCATCGCCTTCTATATAATTATAGAGCAAGTAGTGTCCCGTTTAAGCGATCACCCATCACCAAAACAATCCCTCCCCCGACTCGACTCACTGGTTGGACTATGAGGTGCGCTATCGGTGCTCGCGTATTCGGCGCTAGACGAAGTGTCACTTCTTTCCGGCCTCCTTGGCAAAGACCGTGAACTTCCGCTACGGTGCAAACGTCTGGCCGATCCCCACAGTCTAAGCGAGTGTCTCCTTTCAAGACGACCTGGCATCGATCGACACCTGGCAAACAGTACCTTATCGTTTGGGTTACCTAGAAAGATAAAAAAAAAGAATAAAAAAAAAAAAGAAAAAAGAAAAAATCAAACGTATCAGAAAGAACGAAACACCATTATTTTTGTCAATTAGAAATTCTTAGGATATTTTGTCCGTTATTTTTTTCTTTTTTTTTTTTTTTTTTTTTTTTTTTTTAGATAGAAAACACATTTAATTAAAATACATATAAACTTTGATGTTCGAACGCGTAAGTGTATATATATATATATATATATATGTATGTATGGTAGACATAATAGTAATATAATTATATTCCTTTTTTTTCCTCCTTTCCTTTTCTCTCCCTTTCTCTTCTTTTCTTTTTTCTTTTTCTTTCTTAAACCCTCTCCCACTCTTCTTCCTTCTCATCCTTCTCTCTGTCTCATTTAAATTTTCAAACATAAAATATCACCGGGACATTTAAAGTTCGACTCATTAGGCGGTGTCGGTCTTTGCCTTCTCAAAAAGTGGAACACCCTCGTTCCCGATTTTCATCCTGGTACATAGCCAGAGGCTATAGCCAACGACCGAATGAAATGCCTGCGTGAGAAACGACCGAGAAAGGAGTAAGAGAAAAGTAGGAAGATTACACGCACACACACACAAACACACACACACACACATGTACGCATATACGCACGCATATAAATATATATATATATATATATATATATACGCGGGATTGCCACGTGATTCCAAGAGCGTGTGTAACGGTAGACAATGTCGTGACCAATAGCTAATATATCGGTTGCGTTAAACGCTTTCGAGGTATCGGCAACTTGCCATAAGATCGGCGAATTGACTCTTTAACGCGTGCCACGATATTTGTTTCTCCGTCCTCCATACGTTCTTTAAAGGCATATAAAAGGCGAAAATAATGCGACGTCTAATACCAATTAGTTTCCGCTTAGTCTCGCTTTATCGTTGAATTTCTCGGACTCTCTTATATTATAATACAAGAATCGTCCAAATTTACAACCACCGATTAATCGTTCTTGGACTAACTCGACTCAATTACTTCTCACTTATATATTACATATATCTATACATACATACACACATACACACATACACACATACACACATACACACATACACACATACACACATACACGCATGTGTCACATATATTAGATCACGAAAGTGCTTTCGCTACGTTGTATTTAATGGATGAGGTGCAAAGATTTCGTAGAGGAAATAATTAACGTTATTTGTGTTAATTATCGAATCGATTATTTTATTGCAATCTTTGGAAAATTCCTAACGGGGTGGTGAGGTGGAAGAGAGAGAGAGAGAGAGGGGGGTTACACGTTTCAATACTGATACGATTATAATATTTTTATAACAAGCAAGTAAATACTTTTACATAATATATTTTCTGACACGTGTACATATTTACTGTATATACATATATGAAAAAAGTTAAGAATTTTTCGGGGAGTCCAATGGGAATGGCGAGGAAACAGATAGCTCTCATTTTTCGATAGAATTTGACGAAGAAGACTTGAACGACTACCAAGGACAACTGCAACATAACGCGTTCGTCTCGCGTCCAGTAAGATGAAAGAAAAAGATCTGAAACGTTAAGGCAGCCAGGCCAGGCCATGCAACCAAGCAGGCAAGTAGGGAGCTTCTTCTGGACACTCAGAATGATTCCCGAACACGTGCCGAACGAGTTTGCCCGGATCGACCGGTTTAAGCGAGTTCCTCGAGTTTACGAGCACTCCGTTTCCTGTGGATCCTTTCATGAGAGAGAAGAGGACGACGAAAACGAGCTCGAACTTGAACGTTATATTTCGTAGTAGGAACGTTCTTCTTTACCTCTGTTAATACGTTTGCCATGCCATGCTCGTCGTTGTCCTCAGCAACAGCAACAGAAACGGCAACAGCAATAGCAATGACAGTAACAGCAGCTACAGCTGTTAAGTTCTACCGATTCTAAGCCTGGTGTGTTAACGATATAACGTGAAAGCGCAAAGAGAGAGAGAGAGAGAGAGAGAGAGAGAGAGAGAGAGAGAGAGAGAGAGAGAGAGAGAGAGAGATAAACCTTGCGAAGTACTGTCAAAGTGTATATTTAGGATCGTCTTGCGTTTCTCTTCGGTTATAGGTTAGAATTCTTATGTCTTTTTCTTTTTGTTTCTTTTTTTTCTTTAACATTTTTCTTTCTTCTTTTTTAGCTTTCTCCATTCGATCGTTACGTCGTTATTCACGTTATTCACCGTGATAGCTTCCCCGTGTAGATAGATTTATATATCAATCGTTCTTTTTTTTTTTTTTCTTTTTTTTTTTTTTTTTAACATAAATTGTTAGATAATCACGAGATGAAATTCTTAAGAAGGAATAATTTAAATAGATAGTAAGACACGGTTAATGTATCTAAGTAACGTACCTCCGCAGATAACGTCCGCCAGATTGGTCTGTACCGCCTGATGCGTAACGTCACCGTCTCTAAGGGTCAACATTTCTCCATGAACCAGTGCCATAGCTTCGTCGTTACTCATAAGCATACCACCCTGGCCTCTGGTGCCATTGACCTCTCTTGAACAACGTCTAGAACTCCCGGAATCGCGCCTGAGTCTTCTCGTTTCCGGTGTTACAACGAAATATCCCTGAGACGTATGGTAGATCTTTCGTTCTTGCATCAACTTAGCCAGAGCATCGTATACAAGTTCTCGGCTAGGTCTTTGCATTGCCGGAAATGCGTTCCTAAGTGCCGACCTAAGGGTATCCAATGTCGCTGCTTGCCTCTGTGACGTCAATTCTAGTATAGCCCAACAAAGGGCTTCAGGAAGTGGTGTGAATTGTCCTTGAGAGACAGGCGCTACTAAGCAATCCTCAATGTCACCTGTTTAACATACGAGAAAATAGATTACATTAATATACATATATATATATATATACATATATTACTATTATAGATTAATAAATATAATAAATATAGTAAGATATTAATGTAGTAAGATGTAAAAAATTATATAAATTTATTATATATATATATATATAAATTTAGATTATATTAGATTTTTATTATTAATATTATTTATATTAGACTATACATTATATACATCTAAATATAAAATAATATCTATATTTATGTTTAGATCTTATTTGATAATAATAGTAAGTAAAATCTAGTAAGATCAATATATATTTTCTTTTTGATCTTACTTTATCCTTCTTAAATCGATATACGTGCCGTACATAGATACGCACGCATGTATATATTTATTTATTTATGTACGTTCGAATTAACCAAACGTTTCTCGTATTGTCCGTAGCATTAAAATATATGAATGTACGTACGTACGTACGTACGTACCAAGATGTATCTGATTGTTAATCCGATATGTTATGGCTATGGTGTCGACGCTATAGCGTTAGTTTACATCTTGCGATACTCGAGAAGGTGGCCTTTCTAACTCGAATCGAGACGGTTCGAATTTCCTCTTCTATGTCCGTCGACTTGTTAGATACAAAGCATTTCATTAGGGGTCCACGTGTTTACGTGGACGCGTGTCCTTTTATCTATCACCATAAGCTCTCTTATCTCCGGACATATTAAAACAGTATTATACTTTATAACAACGATCTATTCTCGATCGATTTATATTATTACTTACAGAAGGTCAGGTGAGGTGGGAGGGTGGGTGGGAGGGGGTTTATAAACCGGACGAGTTACATTTTCTCTTGGGTTTCGTTAGAAACTTTATTTACACGATATCGAAAGTGTTATATGGTTTAGAGTTAAAAGCGATCGAAAGTAAAGCTCCGTAGAAAAGGGAGGGTGTTTGAAAATTTATCACCGAAGGAAATCAAACGGATAAATCTTGTTCTCTCGACGACAACAACAACAACAACAACTACGACGACTACGACTACGACGACTACGACGACGATGACGACAACGATATCGATATCGGTATCGATATCGATCTTTATCGATATAATACTTCGCCGAAGCCAAACTCGGCGCCTCCTTTCGATCATACCTTATTAACTCCAAATACGCCACACATTGTGTTTCAACAAACGTTATAGCTATCATAGAATATAACATAAGTCAATGTCCATGTACGTAAGCAATTGCCATTCATTGAAAATGTGTACCCACCAGTCTTGGGGACTACTACATTTAGGTTTTAACGATCGATAGATTTAACGATCGACGTAGATCCAATTTTCTATAGCGAATTTCATCTTTACGAGTCGATTGTGATTTTAACACAATGCTTCGTAAAGATCCAGTCGAATCGACGGCAGCCATCTTGATTTCCTAGTTGCAATTTATTTAGAACTCAAACGTTGGATTCGATCTATGTATATATATATATATATATATATATATATATATATATATATATCGGATATCTTGAACAAAAAAAAAAGAAAGAACAAAAAAAAAGAGAGTAAAGTTCTTTTTATTTTCCTAGTCACGTTTTTCCCTTCTCTCTCTCTCTCTCTCTCTCTCTCTCTCTCGCACTCACTGTCCTTCTATTCCCGTCTTTCTCTTTTTTTTTTTTCTATGCTTCGTTTCCCGTACTTTCGTACATTTGGTGCACGTCCACAAAGACCGTACACGGATTATTCCAAGTTCGCAATTCTCGAAGGCTTCGAAATTCACGTGGTAACAATATAATCGTGATTGGAATATCTAATGTCTCTTGAAAGAAACCCGATGTGTATATATATATATATATATAAACGATTTCGAATCGAATGTCGTCGCCGCGACGAACGAGACGAAAATTTACAATTTTTTCTCTTATATTTTTTTTCTATTTCTTTTTTGTTTCTTTTTGTTTTCTTTTTTTGTTTTTTTTTTTTTGTTTTCGTTTTTCCTCTCTTTCCTTTCTCCATCTACTTCTTTTTCTTATTAGATGAATATTTTCAAGGTATCTCCGTCTTTTTGACTGACTACTCAAATGCTTTACACATTCGTTGATAATTCGTGTCTATTCTTTTTATAAATTACAAGGAAGCAAAAAGAAAAAAGAAAAAAAGAGTTAGAGAGAGAGAAAGAGAGAGAGACAGAGAGAGAGAGAGAGAGAGAGAATCAATGAAAAAGATGGGATGAAAAATGACTTCAATGAAATACTGCGATACTTCTTACGTTAAAGCTTTCACGGTTAACGCTATTGTCCCTTTGTGTAGATGCTAAATATTCATGATTAATGGCACGAACGACCCTGTGTGATATGTATGTATATGATATTTATTACATACAACGTGATATTGCGTTTTTCATTACGATGATACCAACCGGCCATGGTTATTAACAAGTCCGGACATATGGCACGTGGATTTCTTTCGTAAGAATGTATTTTGAATCATAGCACGTTTAATGA